GACCGCGGGCCAGCCCGTTTTCTTTTTTATTTGTTAATTTTATATTATTTATATTTATTATTACTTATTTACCTAGCGTCGTTCAAGTTTCTACTGCAAGTTTCAAGAATCAAAACTCTTCAGTTCCTTCTACTGCGTCTATGACTCTAGCTCTCCCGCAACTCGTTTCTTTCACGAAGGCTCCTCGACCGCGGTTTTTGCCGGAAAAAATCTGCCCGCCACATTCAATCTCTCCATCTACAACTTTAGGTAATTTTCTTATTGTTGAACTCTATTTATATGGAAGGAATTTTTGCAATGATTTATATATTTGTGTATATTTATAATATGGATGGTTGTATTTAGGATCGAACTTATAATAGTTGAAAGTCACGGGTGTCTCTACAAAAATTTAATAATTTTTCAGATTTAATTGTGAATAGATGTATTTTTTGCGCCGCTGTTTCTTCACTTTGGAGTTTTCATACAAAAAAAGAGGAATTGGGGTTGATTTGTGTGGTCCGATTTTGGAAAAAAAAAAGAATAAAATTGCTCAATTTTATGAATTTGGGGTTATTGAAATTCAGTTGCAGCATATAATTCTTCTTCTTTTTTTTTTTATTATTAACTCATCTTCTTTTAAGTATTTTGAGGTGATCAGATTTAATTGGGGGATTTAGGTCACTTTTTTTGGACTATACGAACTTCATAGTTGGTACTTACCTTTTTGGGGCTGCTTGTTTAAGAATCTTTTGGATCACATCTATTTCTGTCCATTATGCTGATTCTGTCTGCAGAGTTTAAAATTTATCTTACTGAAGTACTAATCTCTATAAATGATTCTGTAAAAGATTCATGTGCTTTAACTTTTCAGAGTTACTGTTTGTAGACTAGCACTGATAGTGAACTGCAAGGTGAGATATAATGAATACATAATAATAGTGAATGAATATATAATAATATTTAATGAATATTTGATAGTGAATGAATATTATATACGAAAATTGCTCCTGCTGCCAAGTTAATAGAAAACTTGTTTGACATTATTTGTTTGATGTACTTATGTTATATTTTCATGGTTTTTGAACTTTTATGTGTTTTTTTTTTTCAGAATGGAAGCTGAACAAATTGTTGATCTTGATGATGACGTGCCAAGTCCAAATATTAATGAGTCGAATGCCAACCCAACTAAGAAAGCAAAAACATATGATCCGACATCGGGAGTGTGGGAGTTTTTTGATCGTTTAGGTACTGGATCTGATGGAAAGCCACGAGCTGCATGTAAAGCTTGCAAGAAAAAGTATATTGCCGGAGGGTCAAGATATGGGACTTCTAGCATAACTCGCCATATGAATAAGTGCCAACAATTAAAATCGAGATACCAAAGCGATGTAAGTAATTTACTTATTGATCATGCTGGGAAGATGAGAAGTAGAAAAATTTCTCAGAAAGTTCTTCGTGAAAAGATTGCTCAGGCTATTATAAGACATGACCTTCCCTTTTCATTTGTTGAATATGATGGGATTAAGGATGTTCTTAAGTATTGTAATCCGGATGTGAGAACCTTTTCAAGGAATACTGCTTCTTCTGATGTGTTGAAACTTTATACGGCTAAGAAAAAAATCTTGAGAAAAATGTTGGCAGATGTTCGTAGTCGAATATGCTTAACTTCTGATGTTTGGACTGCATGCACGTCTGAAGGTTATATATGCTTGACTGCTCACTTTATTGATGCTGAGTGGAAATTAAATAATTTCATACTCTCTTTTTCTGCTTTTCCTCCTCCACATTCAGGGACTGAATTGGCAAGAAAAGTTTTTGATTTACTAAGAGAGTGGGGGATTGACAGAAAAATATTTTCAATAACCTTGGACAATGCAAAATCTAATGATAACATGCAAGATATTTTGCGTGAGCAGCTTTGTTTGCAAGATAGTTTGTTATGTGAAGGTCAATTCTTTCATATTCGTTGCTCGGCACATGTCTTGAATCTCATTGTGCAAAAAGGTATAAAAGTTGCTGGTGATGCTTTGCATAAGATAAGGGAGAGTGTTAAGTATGTGAAGGGGTCAGAAGGGAGAATGAAAGCTTTCGAAGAATGTGCTAAACAAGTCGACATCCAAACGGGGATCCATTTGAGATTGGATGTTACTACCAGGTGGAATTCCACTTACATGATGCTTGAAAGTGCATTGAGATATCGACGGGCTTTTACTAGCCTTTCTTTGTGTGATAGAAATTATAAGCATTGTCCATCGGTAGATGATTGGTCAAGAGGACAAAAAATGTTTGAATTTCTTCGCCCATTTTTTGATATAACTAAGTTGATGTCTGGCTCTTCTTATCCGACTTCCAATGTGTATTTCACCCAAGTTTGGAAAATTCAGTGTTTGTTGTTGAAGAATGTGAATAATGATGATGTTGTGATAAAGGAGATGGTTAAGGAGATGATGGGAAAGTTTGATGATTATTGGAAAGAATATAGTGTTGTTCTTGCAATGGGGGCAGTACTTGATCCTCGGATAAAATTCCAATTGTTAGAGATGTGTTACGATAGAGTTGATCCGAGTACTACTCATGAGAAGTTAGAGCGTGTGAGGCGTAAAATCACATTGTTGTTTGAGCAATATTCAAATAAATCGGCAAATCCTTCAAGCTCTTCTGTGCCTCCTTTTACTTCAACCAGTCAAGGTGGAGTAAGAATGGAAGTAGATGATTTAGGGAGCTCATTATCACCTACGGATGTAAGATTTTTCTATTGCTTTATACATATATATATATATATCACAAAAATGTACATTATATTCATTCATTTTGTTCTTGTTGTTTCAATTTAATTATTTTTTATCAGGACTTCAAGTTGTTCGATAGTCAAGTTGTTACCACTATCGGAAAGAGTCAATTGGAGAAGTATTTGGAAAAGGCGAAGTATGAATGGAATCATTTCCAAAATTTGGATGTCTTACAATATTGGAAGGAAAACGAATATAGATGGCCCGAGTTAGCTTTGATGGCTTCTGATGTTTTGAGCATTCCAATTACTACGGTGGCTTCGGAATCTGCGTTTAGTATTGGTTCTCGAGTGCTTAACAAATATAGGAGCTCTCTTTTACCTCAAAATGTCCAAGCTTTGTTATGTGCACGTAATTGGTTCCATGGATTCGCTTTCGAAGGTAAGTTTCTTTATATGAATAGTAGTGGATAAAATTCTATTATTTTTGTTCTCCACTTATTAATGATATACTATGTTTTAAATTGGTTATGTAGATGAGGATGACGATGAGACATTGAAAGGATCAAACTCGTCTATGGTCGGTTCAAGCGATTCGGGAGGTGAAGATGAAGACGAGAACTAGAAACAATTGTGTTGCTCACTAGTTTTTCTTTTTTCTTTTCCTTCTGATGTTTGGTAGTAGTTATTTTGTTGTCGGACTTTGATTGTGTGAATTTTACTTTGAATATGATTGCTATGAGAATTTGAATGTTTGTTAACTAGTTATTACTTATTACTATTGATGAACTTATTTATTTTGTTAGATTTTGTGTTTATCGTCTTTTTTTTTTTCTTCTTCTTCTTCTTCCATATTTATTTACTTTATATTTTTTAAAATTTGACAATGATATTAAGATTTGTGAATGCTCATGAAACATTTTTTTACATAATAAAATATTAATGAATCAAATCAAATAATATTATATGTAAAAAAAAATAAAAAATAAAAGAGTGCATAATACTAAAAAACCCGC